ACTTAAAGGCACACTGCACAAGTCACACTGTAAATCAATGGGGATAGCTCTAATAATAGTGAAAGGATTGACTGAAAAATTTAAAAAGAATGATTCAATGCACATATAAGCATATGTATGAATGGATTTCAATTTGATTTGAACCAAAACAGCAATTATTTGTGGGATGTATCCAACTAATTCATTTACAAAGCAAGTCAAGATAACTATTTACTAAGTTTTTTTTTTTTTTTCTCACACACTGTCACAGTAGTAGGAAACCTTGTGAGGATCTGATTACACCAGTCAGTTTATCTGTAAGATGAATTTGCCATAGTAAATGCTCTACTCACACACACACTCATGAGTGTATGTATAGATCAATGTTTTGCAACCTCAAATTACATTCCTCCCTCTTTGATCCCATGTTTGCTTAATTCCTCCACCATTTTGAATTGACTTCTTATATCATTTTCAACAGTATACTTATAACTTATATTCATGACTGAAACACTTTACCTGGCTAAAGTCAGAATGAAAAATCATAGAGCCAACTTGGAATTCCAGTTGAGTTTTTACTTTAACTTACACACAAATACTCTTGAGAAAGGTATGAATCTATCTCCTCCCCTATCTATGGGATAAATAGTAAGTTTTGTATATGGAAAAATTGTTATCATTCTCAAAAAATGTTAATGCAATATTTACTTGCAAAAAAAGGAAAGAATTAATTTTTACAATACAAAATGTATTTTGAATTTAAATAACCTCCAAGGTGTTAATAAGCTGTAAAAAATAAATCAGTCAATCAATCTCTGGTTAGCTCTGAAATTCTCTTCCTCCTGAGAGTTGAGTGTATCCTGTTTGAAAATTACTAGTATATATAAAATATATTTAAAAAATCAGTTGAACTTCTTTGTATTAATTTCATACTAATTTACTTGGCAAAGGCATGAATCCACTTCTCTCTGTACTCCTATCATGTAGCTTCTGTTTGAAAATCACTGGTATAAATAAAATATATTTAAAAAATAAGTTAAGCTTCTTTGTATTCATTTCATACTAATTTCCTTGGCAAAGGCATGAATCCTGTACTTCTATCATAAGTTATATTAAAAAATGTCTTATCACTGACATGTCACATTGGTTGTTTAGAGAAGAGAGTGGCTGCATAAGCACCTGGAAAAACAACTTTTTAATTATTTTACTATCCCAGGCAGTAATAACAAAAAATGTTACCTCCTATAATCATCCTTGACAGAGGCCAGTTCCATATTCAAAGAAATAAAAATAGCAAACTGAATTAGTAATCCTTCTGCTTTTAAGATTATTAGATTCTGTTTTCTGTTCTTGACTTAATTTTGTTAGGCAAAGTGTTTTAATCATCACATGTGGATTGGTTCAAACTAATTTCCTCATATTTGTTTTCTTGTTTCTTCTTTTATCACAACCTTTCAATCTTGTATCCTCTGGCATTCTTCAAGTGTCTATTGTGCTATGGAATGTAGAATCTGATGCTTACAGATGTGTATTTTGGGGATTGTTTTCTCTTGATCTCAGCTCTGAAACTATATCCTAAGATCATTGGTTTTTCTTTTCTTATGAATGGTTCTCACAAACTATTAATGTCTATGCTAGGTCTGTTGATCAAGTTATCTGAGAACAATGAGTGTATTCTTTCAGTCTTCTTATTTTCCTGTGACTTTCTCTTGCTATTGTTTTTGTCTTTATAAATATTTTTTTATGCTAGATCAAGACAACGGACACCTGAAAAATCCAGAGGGACCACTCAAAAAGACAAGAAAATTCATCTGAACCAACACACGTGCAATGACCTATTCTTGCTTTTCTCATTAATGATTAAAATACTAATTATATTTACTGGGTACACTTGTTTGAGTAGACATTAATGTTGCTTTCAATGAAATTAATTACAAGCCTAGAGATCAACATCAATTGTACCTGTATTCACTTTTCAATCAGGGGACCACATTTCAGCCAAGTGCACATTACCAATTAGCCTACAGGAAGCCATCACAGTAAAGCAAGGCTCAATTACCCTATTGAAGAAATGCACATCTCTTTGAAAATCTATATCTGCTAACATTTTCATACCTGAAAAGTAATTAATGGATTTTTTTAATACAGCATTATTTCTTCTTACTATCTATCTATCTATCTATCTATCTATCTATCTAATCAGTATGTTGTTTGTATAAGTAATATCATAAATAAGCTTTAAGCAAATATATCAAAACTTATTGCATCTCATATCATTAATGATATGTGTGGGTGGGTAGTGTAGCTGATATCAACATGTAAAGTTGAGTTCAAAATTCAGGTTAGTCTGTTGCATTCAGTAATACCATTGAAAAAGTCATTTATCTCTTTCTTTGCCTCCAAGTTAGAGATGAAATAATTGAATTAATGCAAGCGTCACTAAAATAATAGGGCTATTATATGTATAATTATTATTTTGTATATCAGTGTTTTACTATAGGAATGCAAATGTAGAAAAAAGGGATTGTCAATGGTCTGGAATGAATGCAAGTACTACTAAAAGAATAGGGCGATTATATGTATAATTACTATTTTGTCGCAGTGTTTTCCTATAGGAATGCAGTGCAAATGAGACAAAATGGGATTGTCAGTGGTCAGGAATGAATGCAAGTATTACTAAAAGAATAAGGCTATAATATGTATAATTATTATTTTGTAGCAGTTTTTTTAATATAGGAATGCATTGCAAATGACGAAAAAAGGGATTGTCAGTGGTCAGGAATGAATGCAAGCATTACTAAAAGAATAGGGCTATTATATGTATAATTATTATTTTGTAGCAGTGTTTTGCTATAGGAATGCATTGCAAATGAGGAAAAAAGGGATTGTCAATGGTCAGGAATGAATGCCAGCATTACTAAAAGAATAGGGCTATTATACAGTGAGGTGAAACAAGTATTTGGACAGTAAAAAAAAGAGATTTAGAATCATATATTGAAAGAAAAGCATTGTCTAAAGCTCACAATATATTTGTAAAACAATTATAAATGCAAATAAACAGCAAAAATAAATTATTTGTCACATATATATGTTTTATATACAAATTATTAAAACAGGTAGTGAAAAAAGTATTTGGACAGTTCCGAAATTATGTTTAAAATTAATGTTTTGAGTATATTTCATGCTCGAATGTGTTAGAATTTTATGGAATAGTCTAGAACGTGCATTACTTAAAGATGTTACCTATCTTGATGGTCAGTTCATCGCAAGACATCGCACTAACAGTACTGCAGGATGCCAAAGCAAAGAGAGCTGTCGAATGATCTTAAAGATCGAATTATTTCTGCATATAAAGAAAAAAAAAAATCTATCATAAGATTTCTAAAGACCTATGTTTACCTGTGAGCACTGTTGGGTACATAATTAAGAAATGGAAAGCCTTTGGTACTCATGAAAATATGCCAAGAACAGGTGCACTGTGCAAAATGTTACAAAAATGTTCATGGAAAATAGTACGGCAATTAAAAAATGTTTGTGACTTGGAGATAACTTCAAAAGGATCTCAGCAATGCAGGAACTCACGTATGCAAGAGGACCATAAGTTCTGAACTTCACCGATAACAATTAAAATCTCGCTCTCTCCTTGCAAAACCCCATTGCTAAAAAACATCATTTAAAATCCAGACTTGAATTTGCCAAAACTAATTTATAAAAGCATGATGACTATTATAAGCAAATTTTATGATCTGATGAAAGCAAGATTGAACTTTATGGCCACAACGATGCTATCCATGTTTGAAGAAAGGATGGAACAGCCTTCAATCAAAAGAACACCATCTCCACTGTGAAGCACGGAGGCGGTAGCATTATGGTTTGGAGATGCTTTGCATATAATGGTACGGGACAACTGAAAATTATTGAGGGCACAATAAATACAGCCAAATATATTCAGATTTTAGAAGATTGCTTGCAGTCATCAGTTGAGAAATTAGAACTTGGACCAGATTGGGTTTTTCAACAGGACAATGATGCAAAACATACAGCCAAAGCAACATGTGCATGGCTTCAAAACAATAACATCAATGTGTTGGCATGGCCCAGCCAATCGCCGGACATGAATCCAATAGAGAATCTTTGGAGAACACTGAAGAATCAGATTCATGAAAGGCGACCAAAGAACCTCAGTGAATTGAAAGTTTTTGCAGAAGAAGAGTGGGCTAAAATTCCCACCAAATCATGCCAGGCACTTGTAGAGAGCTACAGGAACAGACTGAGAGTTGCAAATGAAGGACGACCAACTAAATATTAAACACATTTAAAGCATAATTTATATTCTGTCCAAATACATTTTTCACTACCTGTTTTAATAATTTGTATATAAAATATATATATGTGACAAATAATTTATTTTTGCAGTTTATTTGCATTTATAATTGTTTTACGAATATATTGTGAGCTTTAGACAATGCTTTTCTTTCAATATATGATTCTAGATCCATTTTTTTTACTGTCTAAATACTTGTTTCACCTCACTGTATGTATAATTATTATTTTGTGGCAATGTTTTACTATAGGAATGTATTGCAAATGAGGAAAAAAGGGATTGTCAGAGGTCAGGAATGAATGCAAGCATTACTAAAAGAATAGGGCTATTACATGTAGAATTATTATTTTGTAGCAGTGTTTTATAAGTGATCTGTTATATATGCACTTAATTTGTTAATAATTTTATATTAATATCTGACTACTTTTTAATCATCCCCTGAAAAATTTGTAATTTTTTTCCTTGTTTTATTTATAACTTCCCAAATCACTAATAATTATGAAGTCTGTGATAGCAGCAAACAATCATTGATTTTAACAATTAAATGGGAGCTATTATGTCTATTTTTGATTTAATATTACCTAAGTGCATTTGCACATAAGGGAATGTAATGAACCTGACTGGAATTTGAACTTGGCTCTATAATTTCTCATTCTCAGCTGTCATAATTATACCACCTGCACTACACACATCCAAGCTTACAGCATCTAGTATTTCCAAATGGTTAACCATCTAGGTACTGACCAGGCTTGATGTTGCTTAACTTTGGTGATCTGACAAGAACCAGTGCTTCAATGTTATATGGCTGTCAACCACAGTTTTTAATAGTTACCATATTATAAAGAAATAACTTTGAAAAATGTAGCTCTTCTTGCTTGTGGAACTCCCTTCTGGCTCCATGCTTTCCATCCAACTTTTATCTGCAAAAATTTAAATGCAATGTCAATCGCTATCTACTGTCTCCTGATTACTCTTTCCTCTTTTTTCTCATCATTATTAATGTTTCAGTTCTTAATTCTTCCACACACTGTAACCCTTTGTGCTTTAGTGACATTACCATCTTGCTTTGGGTGATAACAATTAAAAAACAGAAAAACAAACAAACAAATTCTTTGTTCATAAATTTATAAAAAAATGTTTGTTAGCTAGAGAGAAAAATTTAAGTAAACACATAACTATGAGTAACTGTAATTATAAATTTTAAAGAAGTGCATCTTTTTTTATTTTTTTCATAATCATTTCACCCCAAGCCACTAAAATGCATATTCTGGGCATTTCTTTCATTTGCTCATGCCACATAAATTCATTAACATTGTTTGCCAACATCTGGATTTATCATTTATTTTACTTGAGATTTGATAACATAAAATGTTGAACAGTTTACTTGTTTCACTGATTATTCATATGAATACAGTTTAAAACAATTTTTGTCAATTCTCAAGAAGAAAGAGAATACATGAATCCATTTTCATATGTTTAAGTTTTATTTAAATTCTGGAAATAACTTTTTAAAACAATAAAAATTGCTGAGAGAATGTTACAGTAATAGCAGTGTTAAGAGAAAGAATATTTTTTGACAACACTTGAATGAAAGAGCATCACACCAAGAAAATGACTCTGGGGCACAAATATTCAAAACCCAATATATTGGAGTCTGATAAGGGTATATCAGACACATGCACCATAGCCAAATGTGCATGATATGGTGACAGATTTTCATTTGAAAAAAATTGCATAACTTTACAAGTGGGCTCAATTAGAAATACCTTCAAGTCAGGTAATCCACTCTGCTCAGGTGGTCTTCAGTTAAGAGTGTTCCTAAATGTCATTTCAAAACTATTTTATTAATTTTTAAAAAAATAATCAGAGCAGTTCAATTTGTTTCTTTTCAATTCTTGGAAAAAAGTGAATGCATAAATTCATTTTAATATGTTTGAGTTTTATTAAACTTTTAAAAATAACCTTTGAAAAGAATAAAAATTACCAAGTGATAGTGGTGTCAGGAGAAAACTGTCCATTTGGCACACTGTTTTCATGGAGGTATGTATGTTAAACTTTGCCCTTATTTTTATATAACTTTTTGGAAGGACCCATTTACTGAATGGGTTAGGCTAAAAAAGTAATGCATATATGGAATCCATCTTTGGATTATTTTCATTTGTTGTCAAAGAAAATCTTTCCCTTATATAATTTCTTTTTCAAGTTAGATTTCAAAAAGGCTAATCTCCTGACTGATCCTAGATATATTCCTGGAACAAAAGTCTTTCAGAAATAAAGTGTCACTTGGAATCATATTTTCTCTATAATGATGCCTGGCTGCTTCTTCCTTTCCAGATTGTTGGAAATCCTCTTCTATAGTTCCAGTCTTTAAGAACTCAAATGAACTATCTGATCCTTCTATCATCCTTTTACCTGTTTTTGACAAAGTACTAGTGGCCCTAATCAACCCTGAATTGATTAAGTACCTCACATTACAGGGTCTTTTTTCAGACAAGCAATATGGCTTTCACTTCTCTAGGTCAACTGCTGGTGTATTAATGATTATTGCTGAAAGAATCTATCAAGATTTAGATAAGAATTTGGGGCTGTTGCTTTGGATATCTCAAAAGCAGAAAGTAAGTCTGATTGGTTTGATAAGGTCAAATTGGTAGCCAATCTCAAAAGTGAACTACAATCTACTATTAAGTACTACAAGGAATGGCTTGTTAATTTTAATACCTCCAAAATGAGACTATTCTCTTTTAATCATCTGAGAGAACTCTTTTAGCCTTTCATTTAGTCATGCCTTGAATATTGCTGCTATATATGGTCTGGTGCTCCTGCTATATATTTAGAAATTATTGATAAAATCCAAAGAAGAATCTGCAATGTTATTGGTCCTGACTTGGCATCTCTCCTTCAGTCATTTTTTCCCACCACCATAATGTAGCTTCCCTGTGCATTTTCTATAAATACTTTCATGCTAATTGCTTTTTTTATTTTTTTTCAAATTGTAAAATTTTCATAGAAGAACGTTCTGATGGACTTTCCTTTATGGTATCTAGACTTTATGAATTTAAGTGCAATACGAGATTGGCAATAAGGTCTCATCCATTTATAGTTGAATTGGCTAGATGTAACCATAACTTTTATGCTAAAAATTTCTTCTCTTGCACTTCTCACTCCTGGAACTCTCTTTTGGCTTCTTGTTTTCCAGCCAACTTTGATCTTCAAAATTCTAAATGAAATGCCAATCATTATCTATGGTCATCTGGATTCCTCTTCTTTTATTGTTCTTGCTCCTTAATAATGTTTTTCTTTTTCTTATTCTTTCATACTCAGTAACCCCTCATGTCTTAGTGGCTTTACTGCCTTGCTTGGGATGTTATGGTTTAAAAAAAATGAAGATTTTTCATATCTTCATTGTTCTTCACAAATAAGCTATTTTGTGTTTTACTTTTAGAAGAAACCATTTCCAAAATGCAGGAAGGCAAATATTTTTTGTCAAAGGTCATTAATCCACAATGCTATATTTGTGTCTATTCTTATATTTATATTTTCCATAAAACATTCCTGAGAAAAAAAGTGACACTTAGACACACACGCAATCACTATCTATGGCAAGGGATGACATTTGTTCCTTTTCAAGAAATGCTAAATGCATGGGTGTGCTTTTATATGAGAAAGTGGTTGCACACATTCACACCCACTCTCATGATATCCTCTCCTTGATCCAGTGGCAAAGAGGAAGGATCAGTTACATTGAATGGTCAAACCAAGCTTCAAGGCAAGGAAGGAAGGCCTTCATATGTTTTATATGTTTTACATGTATATTATATATATATATATATATATATATATATATATATATATATATGTGTGTGTGTGTGTTAGATAAACTGCTCAAAAAAGTTTTAAGCTGCCCTGAAATCAAAATATTCTTTTGTTTTAATGTTGTTATATTTTATTGTTGTCAGTAGCATAATAAAAAAACACCATTAAAATGTTTAGGAAATAAATATTCTGATCTGTTCAGTTTTTAACTTGTGGTCTCCTTGCTCTGCAGCTACTACTTTACCCTTTGGTCATAGCTTTACATGGGTCCTATTTTAGGAGGGCTATAAACAGAGATTTGCAGGGGGCAGTTGAGCATTTCAATTTAGTTAATGATAAACAGAAAACATAACATAGCACATAATAGATACTGTTTGTTAATAGTTCAGTCAGGTTTTTTTACCAAAAATTGACAGAAAAAATAGTTTTATTTATTGAAGCAAAATTAGTTCTTACAATTAGATTCACAAAGACTTAAATTTAAGTCCTTCAACCTTCATTTTTCATTTGATTTTCATTACAATTAAGTGATTATTATTTTTTTTTGTGTGTGTGTGTGTGTGTGTGTGTGTGTATACTCAATTTATTAAAAGCCTATCACTATCGGTGAGAAATAAGATATTTTTGTTTTATTTTCCAAACTGATTTGCTTTTAGAATTAATATAAGAGAATTTTAATTCATAATTTTGTATCATACAAAAAAAACCTTATCCAGTCATCCCAAACTAATATCACACAATTTTTGTTTGTCATGTTTGTGTGTGTGTGAGAACACTATTTAAACTACAGACTGTCAATCCCGATATTAAGCACATTTTTCCCCATAAATATACCAAATTTTAGGCAATAAAATTCTAGATATACATATATATAATTACGTAGTTAGCTTCTTAATTAGAAGTTATCATTCAGATAATACATTGATGCCAAAGTTAATTTCTGATGTATATCTCCCACATTAAAGATAATTCCTGATCTTTATCCATCTACCAAAACAACCATGAAAATAATTCAGAAATGTATATGTAATCAATGTTTTATTAGGCTAAAAATAGGTGTGATGGATTTTCTATGATATTTTTATATTTGTCAATAACTTGAGCAGAATACATGACTTGAATGAACAGATTTATCCTTCTTTCATTAGGATATTAAAAAGCATAATATTAAAAAAAAAAAATGAGACAAGATAAAAAAGAATCCAGAATAAAAGATGCATGACTTCTTGAATATTTTTTAAAAGTTTTAATCTAATCTCCCAATTCAGTGTCACATCAAGAAATCTCTTTTATCAACCTGTCCAATTATTCTTTGTGTCTAATCCCATCTAGTCAGTATTCATTTTAATTTTTTTTTATCTGTCTGCTTTTCCAATTTCTGCTCTAAGGTAAAAAGTGGAAAGGTCAGAAGATTTACCATTGCAGTAAAGGTGATAATGTTAAAGTCGACATTTATTTTTTCTTTTTTTTCTTTTAGGGAGAAATTGCAACTTTATCATCGTGATGATAAACATTATACTGACTATTATATGTGGCATAATTGTAATATTGTTGTTTTTTATGTGGCATAATTGTAATATTGTTTTTTATGTGGCGTAATTGTAATATTGTTTTTTTTTATGTGATGTAATTGTAATATTGTTGTTTTTATGTGGCGTAATTGTAATATTGTTGTTACTGGTAATTAATTTGTACATGTATGGAATTATTGTTACTTTCTTATAACATTAACAAAGTGAAATTAAATTTACAATTTTTTGTAACTTTATGGAGAGCCATGATCACCAACATCCTGAAAAGACATGGCATATTGAAGAACTTAGTATTTTGACCCATACTTGAGTTGTTTAACGTTTTAAATTTTTACACAATAATTATTACTCAAGTGGCTTAAATTTTTTTATTGTTGTCTAATAAATAGAAGAGAAAGATATTTGAATGTAACCAAACTACTAGAATTAGTAGGATTCTTGAATATGGTATAAAATAATGTA